ACCCACAGCCTGGTGTGCCCCACAGTGCCCGACCCACAGCCCAGCGTGCCCCACGGCGCCCGGCGCCCTCTGTTCCTGTCGCACTTAACGGCTGCGGTGTGTCGCTTGTGGTTTAACCTTTAGGCGCTCTTCGCAAGCCGCTCCGGCTCCGAGGGGGCTGGCGCTCGTCCCCGYGGGCCGGCTGGCGAGGAGCCAACCGCCCCGAGCGGCGCGGGGGATCCCCGGGGATCCAGAGCGGAGCGGTCGGAAGGGAAGGACGAGGACACGGGGGCACCCGGACATCCCCGGCAGTGCCACCACGTCCGCAGCCGCGGGGCCGGCTCCTGCGGAGCCTCCCTCCGCTCCGGGATGGGGGTGATGTGGAAAGGCCCAGACGTGGCCCCGACACGAGGGGTCCCCCGGCCGAGGCGCGGGGCGGCCGTTGGAGCCGGGCAGGCGCCAACAGGAGCGGGATCTGCCGCCGGCTCCATCGCGGCCTCCGGGACGCGCCCGGGAACGCGCTGGGAACGTGTTGGGAACGCGCCACGGCAGCGCGGCGGCCTCGGTGCCGCCTCCGTCAGGGTCCGCGGCTCTACCCCCGGCTCTCTTGTCAGCCGAAGGGCCCCGCGGCTCCGTTCGGTCGCTCCGCCGCACAAYCGCCCCCGAGCCCCGCGTTCCCTCGCGCTTTGCCGGTCCCGGGGGCCRCGTGGGGCCCTGGCTCTTGCCCTGCGCCAGGGAGCAACGTGGGGGACACCCCAAGGCTCCTGCCTCCTTGGGGGGAACCTGCCCCGGGACCCCAGCTCCGGACGGGATGCGGCCCTGCTCTGTCCGCGGCCGCGAGGTCCCGGCGTGACCAGGAGGTCCCGGTGACATCGCGGGGACATCGCGGGGACATCGCGGCCCCGCGCGGGGCGGACGCGGCCCCTTCAACGTGGGTCTGTGAGCTCCCTCCTGCTCCGGGCGGCGCAGCCGCCAACACGAAGGCCGGGCGCCCCGCGGGGCCGCGGGAAGCGCACGGGGCTCCGGGAAGGCAACGCGGAGCCGGCGCTCCCGCACGGGGCCGCATTCGGCGACTGCTTCCTCAGTAATTAGCTCCCAGAAAGACTAATTTGCGTTTGATACCCTGCAAGGACTCGCCCCGTTTCCGTGTCTCCGGAGGCAATGCCGGCCGTGCCGGCGGGGAGGGCGGCGCCGCCGGAGCTGCCCGCGGAGCTGCCGCCGCTCCGGGGGCTTCATCCGCCTTTCCTGCCCCGCGCTGCCGGCAGAGGGGTCTGGACACGGGCCCTGTCCCCGAGGAGGAGGACGAGGAGGAGGAGGAGGACGGCCGCTGATGCCGCTGGCTCCTGCCCGCCGGGCACCTCCGGCTCGGCCGCATCGCGGCGCCCGCGGGGAGCCGGAGCCGCCGCTGCCGGCTCCGCGCGGGGTGGGGAGCCGCCGCCCGCTGCTCCCGCCGGAGTGAATGACACCGGGGTTTCTGCCCCGCCGGCTCATCCCTTTCTTTTATTCCTTCCTTCTCAGAGATAAGGGGAAAATCTGGGAATTGCCCTTCCTTGGCAGCTCCTCCCGGCAGCTGTCGGAGCGCGCGGCCGCCGAGCGCGCGGGGAGCGGGCGCCGGGGCAGCCGCTGTCCAACCGCGGGCACCGGCTCCGCGCGCCCCGCGGAAGCCGAGCCTGGGAACCACCCGCCAMGGTGGCACCGGGTGCGGGGGACGAGGGCAAAACCCTGGGCCCCCCGGCGCCCGCCGCGCGCACGGGGTGCACCCACAGGCGGGACCTCCATAAAACCTCGTAAACATTCATCTTTACTGAAGGGCCGGCAGACGGCGAGGCCGCCGAGCGCGGAGGCTGCCGCGCGGAGCCCGGCGCGCGCCGGTGTCACCCACCTGAGTGCGTGCGCAGGTGGCCGGTGAGCGCGTCCCTGCGGCGGCAGGCGTAGTTGCAGAAGGGGCACTTGAAGGGCTTCTCGCCCGAGTGCAGCTTGATGTGGCGCAGCAGGTTGCCCTTCTGCGTGAAGGAGGCCCCGCACTGGTTGCAGTGGAAGGGCCGCTCTCCTGCAACGCGAGCAGCGCGTCAGAGGCCGCCGGCCGCGCCGCGCCGCGCGCCCCAGGATCCACCACAGAATCCTCACGGCTGCAAAGACCCTTAAGATCCCCAAATGCTTGGAAAGACCTTCAAGATCCCCAAACGGCTGGAAAGACCTTTAAGATCCCTGAACGGTTGGAAAGA